TGTGTGTGTGTGTGTGTGTGTGTGTGTGTGTGTGTGTGTGTGTGTGTGTGTGTGTGCATTCACCTGCTCCTCTTCTGTCCTTATTATAGCCATGACGCCCCCCAGTGCCATGCAGTGGTACTGACTACTGATCCAGTCAGCTCTGTCCTGGCTGAAGAGGAAACATTTCTGTCCCTGAGGCATCCAGCCAGGTAAGCATAGGCTGCACTCTCTTTCTGAGTGAACAATAATAATAATAATAATAATAATAATAATAATAATAATAAAGAATAGGTAAAAGATGTGGCTCAGATTACTCATCCCTCAAAGTTTGTTTTAATCTACTTTAAGCTTCAAAAGACCTTAAATGTCAAGCCAGGGTAAGTTTCAGCAGTGATTTGAAATTTTCTAGCATCCTGTACATCTCAGTACAGTATTACTGTTCTCAGTATGAAATAATCTCACAACAGCACTGAAATCATGACATATTTTTCAACAAACTGCATTTTGAGTGTGTAAATGATTAAACAACAATACAGTGCTCCACAAGCAAGACTTAAATTTGGATTGTGTATTAGCTACAACCATTTAAAAGTTACTACAGCCCGACAGTCTGAAGGTGTTAATGTCAGGTTTCATTCTGAAAAGCCTGTAATAGTTTTATGGTAGTGTGTTTTTATGTTGTGTCATAAGTAAGTGGTATAAATATGTTTTCTACTTTATTTATATCACTGATTACAGACTGAAAACAAACAGACTAATATTACACATCCAGTTTCACTGGTTTAAATCAGTTTATCTAACATACTGGAAACTCGTCATATGTAATATGACACAAAAGCTCAAAGTGGATCTGTTATCTGAATCTGAATCACGCTCGAGTTGTTTGTCTTTTTCACAGCATAATGGAAATCAGAGCTTCTTTGTTAAATGGGTTTTTTTGTAAACAGTTGTCTATATTTAATCTGCCACTTGTTTGGCAGCGTGACTGGGACAAAATGACCAAACTGAAACTGACATTTCTCTCTCACAAACTCGTCTGTAGTTAAATACTCGACCTTTATATAAGGGATTCATTAGCTTCTTTACCTTTCTGTTACAGCCTTATAATTAGAGCCAAGCCTCAGGTAAACCTTTACACTAAAACCACCCAGTTATCCACTGATGCGTCAGTTTTGAAGTCTGGCCATAGAAATGCCTGAAAACAGACACAGTGTGTACGAGGAACTGTCACAGGAACATCTTCGAAAAGTTGTGATTTTTGTGGGTGTAAAAAATGATTTTTTTCTCTGGATTTTCTCTTAACACTTGTAGCTCTGAATAAAAAAGCACCCAGACTCACCACCAGTGGTAGCGTTGCTGATTGGGCAGTACTGGTTTAGAGAAGGGTACTGGGAGAACAGGAGCTGATATGACTGGTTGAGCTTCTCCAGCCCGATTCTCAAACCTCTCAGTTTGTTTTCCTGCAGGGCCGACTGGGACTGAGACACCAGTGTGAGCTGAACCACTGTGGTATCAAACACACACAACACATGCAGCACAGTGTCAGAAGATTGCATACACAATGTCTCATCACCCGTTACCATGGATACGGGATAATAAAGCAGTGTCAGACAGAAAGCAAAGCAGACTGACAGAGGTGAAAAAAGGGATGATTCAAAAAGAACAGAGTTAATCCTCTCTGCAAGCCATCGCGTAACAGAATTTATTCTAAAATAAGACGCAGAGACCGACGGATTTATTTCTCGACAAAATGACAAAAGACTCGTCCTGCTTTTTGTTGAAACACCAGAATCATGGTAAAATCTTCCTGCAGTACCTCCATATGTACGCTGTATACTAATGCAGTGCTCTCCAAAGGCAGGTTAGCAGTAGAAGAAAATGTATTTATTTATTTTTGTCACGTTAGGCATTTAAAGTTCACAAAAATACGCCAATGACATAAAATTTGAGACTCCTGGTAACATTTGATAATAAAACCTCAAACTTGTGGTGTTTTTGATGTTTAGTATCATTCTGTCTGTAAAAACAATTACTCAAAAAGTTTAGATTTTAAATGTCATGCCACATTTGACCTCTGACCTCTCCTTCAGACATTTTACAAAACAAAAATATTTAAAAAGTCTATTTAGTGTCATTCTGCTGCCTGAATCTTGTGTGAATTGTGACATTTTCACACCTGCAATCTCTTGAGTGGTGACTGTTGTTTTGAGGCTCCTCTTCACTGCGTTTTCTCTGAACAGCTGCAGTTATTTTCTGGTCCTGTGTTCATTTTGAAGCCAACCAAGCTTTTCACGCTGCTGTAAGTAATATATGCGTCTTTGTTTTCATTTAGATGAGCCGTTTTTGTGTGGCAGCCAGCACACCTCGACATCTGTGTATCAGCAGATGGAAAGAGTGAAAGAAAGAAGGCTAGTTACACACAACGCCTTTGTGTGAGCGCAATCGATGCAAAAGGAAACACCTGGGCAACAAGTTACATTTGCCAGTGTGAAGCGGGTCCACTCTACATAACAACACAGCCAAATTTTGCTATGTTGTTAGCATTCGCTTGGAGAACTTTAAAAATCATATTATTCTGAGCTCCACTATTAGCGAGGATCTATTACACTCACTCTCAAACAAGGCCCTACGTTTTTATCCAACATGATGTGTGTTACTTCACTAATGAAATCCACTCTTTCTGTCTTTATTTTCTTTAAATCTTTGAGTATAGGATTTGGCCGGCGAGGATAGGCAGTGTCTCAGTCACCACTGAGCTAGACTAAAGTGGTTAAATGCCATGTACAGGCAGGTGCGGTGTAGAGATAAACTCAACTTTGTAAATTATTGTAAATTATATGAAAATATTCAAAATATCAGTTAAGGTCTTATATGTATATCAGCACATTATCTCCCTCTCCTTTTTTCAGTAACCCGTTCCCATTGGTCAGTGAGTTTTATAGATGCAAAGAGGCACTCACAGCAGAGAGTCTGGAGCAGAATGATGATGGTCAGTAGAAAGCAGAGCAAACAGAAGTAATGAGCCAGCTGTCTGTAGTGACCTGAGAGAGCCGACACAACAACAAAGGGAAAAAAGAAAAACACTTAAACATTTATAGACCTTTTTTACATTTCAGCAGGAGGAGACTTTGGCAAGCCTGGGAATTTCATAAAAGACCATTTCACCCAAAGCAGTCCAACAGGCCAGCAGAATATTCCTGTTGAAATACAGCATCTCTTTTTGTGTTGTGTTGTTGCTTTGGACTGCTTTATTTGGATGATGGCTTTAAGACATAGCAGACTTGTTGCCCTGCATGGTTGATGAGTATGGGTTGCATCAGACACAGGCAGATCAATGAATTGATAGATTTTGCTCTAATTTGATGAAATCTGCCACCAAGACTTCAAACATCTCTCTGATCCCAAGTCTGTAGATTGTTTCTGAAAAGAAATATTGTTAATGTTGCATTTTCAAAATCTATATTACAAACCCAGAAAATAAAATTCACTCTAATGTAAAGGACGAGGCAACTGTAAAGCTAAAAAATAAAAATCAAGCAGACACCACCGTGGATGAGTGGGAACATTTTTATTATGTTGCAGTCACTATTGTTGTCATCTCTGCTTCTTCAAAGCAGAATGAGCTCATTAATTAAATCATTAGCTAACATGATAATGAGCACACCTCAACAGTGTTCTTCTTAAACCCACTCGACCCATGCATGCAATTGAATTTAGTGTTAAACAGGCTAAGAAATGACTAATACTAAATAAATAAATAAAACCAATTGAAATACTTTATAAAAAGAAAAGCTAATTACTTCTGTCTTTGGATGCTTCCAGCTTTTTTTCTTCTTCAAGCAGAGTCGATCCATTATTCACTCCCATGGTCTCATCCAGCAGAGAATCAGCACAGGATTTTTCTTGAGTTATTACAGCATGGATGCATAACTTTTCAGTCACCAACAATCCTTTGTTTTCCAGCAGCAGGTACCAACGAACAGCCCAGCGTTCCTCTGTTGATGGATTGGTGTGGAATGATGTCCAGTATCTCATATGAATATTAAAATACTGACTCCCCTGCAGCCATATGCAAAGCAGAGCTGGGTCTGATAACCAAACAAGTCTGTTAGAGGAAGAGTCAAAGTCATTCTTTATTTCTCCATTAGTGTGTGTTAAAATCAACATACAGTTAGTTTACATACCAAATAACTGCACATATCACCCTGTTAGGGACACCCATGGAAAATGTTTGCTGCCAGACCAGATTCACCCCTTCAAAGTTACAATCGAGCCTTCTTTATACCTGAAAATGGCATTAACCTCTAAAAAAGAGGGGAAATAGATACATACACATTTCAATGTATGCATGGGTGACATATTAAAGAAAAAAAAATGAACTAAAGTGTGTTGTTAAGATATTAGGCCACCGCCTACTGCTAGAATAGCTTCTGTACTCTTTGGCATTTGTTTTTCAGGTTTATGGATGAGGGTTAAATGCTATTCCTTCACAGTATAAACATATAAGCTGTTAAACATGTCTACCCAACATTTTGCACTGCTTATTTAGATCTTGTGGCTGCAGAGGCCATATGCTTTACATAACTGTCATCCTGGTGAAAACATTCATGTGTTTATAATGGATGGAGGAATCTCCAAAGACAGCGTTCCCATCAGGGTAAAAATGTTTAGAATTAAGGTGATCAGTCAGAACAACTGTGTGTGATCTGCAGTGGCACTTTCTTCTAAAAGAGCCATTTTCTTAGCAGCTTATCCAGTTCCCAGGGGCTGGAGCCTTTGCCTTCTGTCATGAGGTGAGAGGCTGGGTACATCCAGATACATCCTTTCCTGTCTAAAACACACACAGGCAATCATTCATGCTCACATTTATACCTATTATGAATCATTAACAGTAATGACCAACCAAGATTCCTTTTAGAAAGATTTTCCTGTTCATTTTTCTTAAATTCTGATTAGTTTCTCTACATATTTTCCCCTGGTTGGTTGGTAACACTTCCTTGCACTGACTTTAAGCCCCACCAGAGGGCCCACTATATAGTTTGAGAACCACTACTGCACTGAAACCTGTACAAACAAACAATTAAAGCTGCCTCCCACAGAACAACAGATTTTCCCTTAAATTTGTCACCTGCCTGCATTTATGTCTGTCTGCATAATTATCTAACACGCACAAGCAGCAATCATGACCAGCGTGTGATTGTATGTGCAGTGTGTGTGTCAGAACACATAGGTCATTGTCTTCTTCAGTCATACACACAAAAAAGTGTGTGAGATGAAGTGATCTGTGCAGAGATATAAGACTGCTCCCACTAATGAGTGATTTAAGTCCCATAAAATACTGTATGCATACAGTAGAAGTAATAATAATATAATAATACTACCCAATAGTAATAATAGTTTTATTCAAAATACTGAAATATTTACAAATATTTGACAGCGTTTATAGAGCATTTCTCTTCTTTTTCAAGTTTTACATTTCAGTTTATACTGTAGTTTTTGGCTTACACATGTGGGAAGGGGTAGTGGAATATACTCAGCATATTTACAGCAAAAGACAAAAAACAAATTTAAAGAAAAAATAAAGAAACCAAAAAAAACTATTGAAATGTGCACTGAAGGTGAGGATAAGCAAGTATTTATGTTAATAATGCATTTTAAAGTTTAGCTTACAAACTACACATTTTTGTATTGGAAGAAGGAGGTATAAATGTGAAGTATAGGAGTACAGACAAAAGAAGAACATCATATATATATATATATATGTCACATCATATATAGATGTGTGTAGAAACATATGAACATATGGAGAAAATTTGGAGAATTTTCTTTTGGTTTGGATTAAGATAATTTGAAAATATCTACTTTACCTATATATAAAGCTCTTTGAGGTGACTGATTCTGCTGAATTAAATTTCATTGGAGGATACGTGAGTTTAATTCAGAAGGGCTCTAATTAGCAAATATATAACAGTTTATTTCAAAAGATGAGCTTTACAAATAAACACAGGGTTAAGTAAAAGTTGCTTACAACCAGAGAACAATCATAATAAATACTTTCATATTTGATTTACGTGTACAAAAAAACCCAAACTCTTGTTATAAAACAATGAAAGTGCAGCTACAAATGATTAACACGAGATCAACAATGTCTTTTTACAGGTTTAGCTTCTGTGTGTCTGACTCTGCCATGCGGTTTGAGCTTGTCGGAAATAAGCAGGATCAGATCAGTTGTTCACAGGTAAATCCCACTGTAAGCCAGTGGTTGCCCAAGGAGACATCAGCATTAGCGCGGTGACACGTTGTTAACCTGAATTGATGCAGTCAGGTGGCTCGTGGCTGTAATGTGTCGTGTCTGACATTGAGCTGTTTTGCTCTTATGTAACAAACCTTTCACAATGATTCATTTACAGACAGAAGAAAAACCAAAGGTTAAAACATTTTCAGTCCTGCATTGACAAAATGCACGATTTACTGTTATGAAATATGTACTCACATTGTAAAGCCACACAAAAGCATGTTATAGTTAATTCTACAAACCCCCCCCACATATTTTTAGAGTTTTCAATATGAAATACTAATACAAAAAGAATAGTCTGTCAAAATCTCAATGTGCAAAACAACCATCAGTATGCAGTGCTTTGCCCTGCTGTGTACTGCAACCTTACTATCGGTTCTTTAGCAGCACGCACAAGTCCTCACTCAGGTTTCTATGTGGCTTCGTTTAGCATCTCTTTCACCTTCTGTAATGTCTATGTTGCTCATAAACCGCACAGAACAAGCTAGCGCAGGGCAGTTAATGGTAAACCAGCAACCTTTGGGCTTGTTCCAATTGAAAGAAATCCTATTATGTGTGTTGGATCTCTTAGAGGTGCTGCAGTCATGAGCGTGCAGCCAGTAAATCCAAAGCCCTGCACTCTTTGGAGCCTTCAAAGGTGTCCTGCTGGGAGCGTTCGAGCGAGGAAGTGAGGGTGTAGGTGGAGAAGGCAGAAGGATCCGGCAGGAATGGAAAAATACAAAAAAACCAAACAACCAAAGTCCTCACACTGCTCGTGGCCCACAGCTGAGCTTGTGCTATTAAAGTTCTGCAGCCAACATGATGGAAGAAGAAATGAGAGAAACGATCACTTTATGGTTGACCAATGATCAAATAATGTATTTCCACTTGTCAGCCATTTTTGACACAACCATGTTATCAATTACTAGAAAAGGATAATCCTACAGCCCTGGGGTCAGCGTCCATCTTTAGTGGCAGGGATCAAAAGAAAGCTCAGTGAGGCCTCCGTGGAGCTCAACCGACTCCTCCGACCATGACATGACATCACCAACAAGGTGGCCGCCACAGGTTGCTTGGCTGTAAATCTCACTGGATGTCAACACCCTGGACCAGAACTGGAGATCTGACAGCTCTCCCACAAAAGACTGAGTGACGTCAAAGCGGCCTCCCATTGTGTCCTGTGGAGGGAGAAGCAAATGTGTCAAAATGTAGAGCTGATATTTAAAATGTTACCAGCTTCTTGGGATTAGAAAGTTGTTCTTTAAGATATGAAACTGGTAAAAATGACATTTTTAGTTTGACACAAATTTGATTTGTTTCATCAGTAAAGCCAAGGCCCTAAAAAGCGCCTTGAGGCGACTTTTGTTGTGATTTGGCGCTATATAAATAAAATTGAATTGAATTGAAAAAATGAAGCCAATACTAGAGTGTCTTAACCCTGCTTTCTTTCTGATGACCAACATCATTTAGACAATAGACAATAAAGATTCAGTGCATATGTTTATATCTACTGAAAGACACTATACAAAGTCAGCTGTTTCAAAAAAATAAAAAAAAAATAAAAAAATGACCAAACTGACAACGCTTGGCCTTACAAGCTCAGCTCTCCACACTACAGACAGACTATCAGTCACAGTAAAGAGACCCTCTTACAAGTCCAAGGTTTAACATATCCAGATGTCATAAAAATAATCTGGTCCTTAGCGAGTCTTAAATGAGATAGATACAACAGATGAACTACCAAACATGACATATTAGATCATATGATTATTTAACAAAAATTAAATCACAATGCAGCAGCAGTATTGATACGGATTAAAAAGGAAAGTAGGAGCCAGGTGCTGGTAATCTATAGAAGCAGAAGTTTTAGCATTTTTCAGGTCAGGAAGTGTAACACAATGCCAAGAACAAAACATATGAGCAATGATCTTAAAGAAACACTTGTTCCTGCCCATCAGTCTGGAAAGGATTATAAGGCCATTTCTGAAACAAGTTCAAGTCCATCATTCTACTGTTAGAAAGATTATTCACAAGTGGAAAGCAGCTGCCAATCTTCACAGGAATGGAGGCCATGAAGTGTTCAGAGAAAATGCACAAAAACGAAAACCTCATACTGAAGACTGTAAAGGCCTCACTTAGCATGTTAAAAGTTAAAAGTTCTAAAAGAACATGGCAGCACAGCTTAGGCTCGCAAGTAAGTTACAAAACAAACCACAAGACAACTGCAACAATGTCCTTTGGACAGATGAAACCAAAGTGGAAATGACTATATGCAGAAACCAAACACTGCTTATCAACACATACGCCTAATACACTGTCAAGCACGGTGGTGGAGGGGTGAGGATTTGGACTTGTGTTGCAGCCACAGGACACAGGCACTTTGCAGTCATTGAATTAACCTTGAACTTCTCTGTATACCAAAGTGTCTAATATGAGGCCATCTTTTCAACAGCTAAAGCTTGGCTGACACCTGCTCGTGCAACATGACAATGATTCAGAGAATGAAAGCAAATCTACAACAGTATGGCTGAAAAAGACAAGAATGCATTGAATGAAATACAATGCAGAATTACAAAAGCCCAGTTAAAATCCACACCTCAGTTTCATTAAAATGCTGTGGTGGTTAAGGCAGCTGTGCATAAATGAATTCCTCTAAGAGTCAAACAGACAAGATTACTTGAAGTTACTTCCACTAATGCTGGTTCTACAAGATACTTTGGTTTAGTTTTTATTAAATAAATAATGACCCACACATTTGACTTTGTATTTACTCAATTTAAAACCTCTTATAGCAAACGTTGGGGTATAAAATGAATTGACATACCTATATCTGCTGACATAGTCTGTATGTGACATTATTATCCCACAGTCAGAAGGCATGTTGTGTGTCATACCTGCTCCTGACCAAGGATGAAAATCCCTCCTGGTTTGATTGGGTGCCAGGCTGACAGGTTCTGCCCTGTGCCTTTCTTCGCTCCATCCTGGTAGGCCTCCCAGACACCATCACGTGTGGACCACGTCACGCACACGTGATGCCACTTTTCATCTGTCATAGTTATGGGCAAAGTCGCCGCCTAAAGAACCAGGTGGAGAGACAAAAAAAAAGAGATTTTATTTATTTATTTACTTATTTTTTAATTTTTATTTGGAAAAACATCTCATAACCTTCAAGTAAAAGATTATCCAAGGGTCGCGATGGCACGGTTTAGACCTGATCAAGCCTTAAATGATCTGAGATGTTATCATGTTGATGAAGTAAAAAGAAAAAAAGACTCCTTTACTGTCATCTCTGATAGCCTGCCATTAATTTTGCACGAGTATTCACACAGTAGCAAGCCTTATGTGTAACTGTTATCAATTGTCGGGAAAGTGGATTAATACAACGTGTGAATCTTCTCTCATTTCATCCTCATAAAACAGTGTAGAAAAGTAATTAAACTCTTAGATTAATCTACATTCTGAGATCATTGAACTGTGTCAATGATCAGTTTGATAACTGCCAAGTGTGTGACTCACAGACAACAAACACGTCAGTTTATCCCTCCTGGTATTGTCTGTGCTACAGACAATTAGGCCAATCAATTACAATAATCAGATTATTGTGTTGTTCGTTTGTTTGTTGAGCTCACTGCACGAAGTACTGGGGCACAGAAGGGAAATAGACAAACATCTGTCTTCCGTTTAGGGGAGAATTAAAGATTAGGAAGCTAATTGACTAATTGAATTATTTGTTTGTCAGCAGTCTGACTGGGTTACTGTCTGATTACTGTCATTTGGACTGAGACATCTGCAATCTTTTTCTAGGAGAAACAACCGAAAGACAATTGCAGGGGCTCGTTATATATGTCTAATCTGCATTAGAAGTATACAGAGAAGTACCAAAATGTGAATAATTTGTTACAACTGAAAACAACAAAAATAAATATAAAAATTTTTAAAAAGTCAAAATTAATGTGTATTATGCCAATGAAGTTTGAGGATATTATACATTTTAAGAAGACTGTTTTAGTAAAACTAAATAATAAATACATAAATTACAGCAGATATTCAAAATGCTAATCACTGTTAAAAGGAACAACCAGTAAATGAGCTCTATAGTTTTTGTGTATGAATTTGAGTATGTGATTGTGAGATGACAATATTATATATATCATTTACATTGCTCTGGAGTCTTTACTAGATAAGTTTTTGGCTAGTTGAGAAAAATATTCATACCAGAGTAAATTTGGCAGATTATCATCTTGCTCTGACTCTTATTTCTTGGTGGTACGGTACTACTAGCTGTCAGTAACACTGGCCAGTGTTGGTGAAAGTATATTCTTTTCTCTACTTTGGTACAGCCAAACTAGTGTGGAGTAATGCTGAACTTATACCTTGTTACTCTTTGATGCAGTGAAACGTGAGCTAGTTCTAAATCATCATCACACATTAGCAGATAAAGTCCTTCTTTTGCTCACCACAAGCAGTTTATACAACCCGAGCCTGCTAGACTTTGATTAGTCAGGATAACCTGGATTGTATGTGGTTTACAAACAGGAAACCAGATAGCTTCTGGGACCAAACATCTTCTGACTTGCCTAGAGATTCTTCACATTGATGTGCAAGTATTTTCTTACAGTGATAAATTATTCAGTGACTGGTAAAAAGATCCCATAAACCTTTGCACTATAGGCTGAGCTTCAGAACTAGCTTTTGTGTCCAGATTCATCAACATTTAGATCATAAATCACTGTGACATGACATGGTGATAGGCTTTACCTTGTCGTTAATTAGCAGCTCCATGGGATTGCTGCCCCATTCAATTAGTACCAGCTCATTAGCTTGCCCGGGCACCGAGTAGGAGAAGGGAGTGCCAAGACCAGGACCTGCACCTGCCTTCAGCCACAGGCAGATGGTCAAGGCAAAGATCTCCGTCACCACTGACCGCCTCATCCTGCCATACATGTAGTTAGTCCTCATGGGGAAGTCTAACAGGAAGGCAGTGGGACTCTTTAGCTTCTTTTGGTTCCCTGGTGAGATGGAGGATAAATTTAGAGTCATGTTATTCATTTGTGATGAACAAATACTGCTGTCAAAGACTTTTGTTAGACTATTTTCTATATGCATTAGAAACAAACAAGTTATTTTTTTCTTTTTCTTGAATTGTTCCTTTTTCTGACCCAATTATTATGGAGATATTCTCTATCTACATTATATCAATATAATTATTAAAGGCAAAACAATGCCCTGTGCTTGCTTTCATCATTCATCATATAAATTAGGTAATTATGGGTTATAATAATCTACTAGCACCAACCACAGCAACCTAACTAATGGAGTTTTTTTTTATAGGGCAACCTCCAATAAAAGCCGGATAATAGTAGGTACAAAGATATTCTGTAATTATTAAATAATAAATGAGAATTCAAATTCATCCCTAAAATAAATCATGAGTGTGTGTAGCTATGTCTGTGCGTGCATGTATGTTTACCATGGTCAGTGCTGCTGTGGTGCAGTTGGCTTAGTACTGTTTCCAGCTTGCTGTGTCCAGTGCCCCTCAGACTCGTTTCTTTACTGGTGTAAGGAAGCCGTCGCGGGTGATGATCATTGTCATGGTGGTGGTCATCGTGGTGGTCATTGCCATGATGGGTGTCATGATGATCATCGTGGTTGTCATGATGATCATCATGGTGGTTGTCATGGTATCCAGGTCGATGGTGGTAATCATGATCTCTGTGATGACTGTCATCATGATGACCATAGTGATCATCGTGATGATCGTCATGATGGTCATTATGGTGGCTGCTGAAATGATTATAATGCCGACCATGGTGCCCATCATAGTGGTGGTCACGATGGTGATCACGATGGCGATTATGGTGTCCAGTGTGGCGGTTGTACCAATGCCTGTTCTGGTGGTTGCTGTGATGGGCATTGTGATGGTCCTCATGGTGGTCTTCATGATGGTCATCATGGTGGTCATCATGATGGTCATCATGGTGGTCATCATGGTGGTCATCGTGGTGGTCATCATGATGGCTATTGCCATGGTGGCCATCATGATGGCTATTGCCATGGTGGCCATCATGATGGCTATCATGGTGGCTGTTGCCATGATGGTCATCATGATGATCTCCATGGTGGTCATTATGGTGACCATAGTCATGGTGATCTCTGTAGTACCTGTGTAGCTGTTCCTCTAAAGCATTGATCTTCCTCTGCAGAAGTTCTCTCAGGGAGCTGGAATAGGAGCTGGAGGAGTTCCTGGCCTGTAGACAAAGAAAATAGTGCTTAATAACTACGCTTGTAGAAGACCTCCCTTGACATTGTGGGAGGTCTTCATAGAGCGTCTCAGCGATTTGTGCAGGGCAAAAAAAGATGTCAGCATTGACCTGGCTCACTTGAATAAAGAGAATGGGATTTTGGATTATTGCTGAAAAAAGGTCTCAAAAATAGAAATTTAGAATAGGTAGGTGTTTTGATAACTAGTATAATCATCAAAAATCTAAGGACCCTTTAGGATGTTTGAAAGATTAAGTACCTTTATAGTAAAATGAACTAGATCATGGTAGTATGACTTTAATGTTCCCACCACAAAGCTCCTATGTGTGGCATCATGACATTTAATGTCCCTGAAGAACTGGGTTTCCTGAAGCAGGTATTTGGGTATTCAGTTTCATATTTTAAAACAAAATGTGAAAACATGTTTAGGACTTGAGTTAACCACAGACCTCATTCGAAACATTTCAAAAATCAATTTAAATAAGGCACTGATTTCAAGACAAGGCTATTTCAAACTCATTACTGGAGAAAGATAGTGACTTTAACTGTATGATTGTGACTCCTTGTCAGTTTTGTCTATTAGCAAAACTATAAAAACGATGTTAAAGAAAAGGACTGTAGGGGGAGAAAGGTGAGTGCTGGTAATAAGAGTTTTACAACAACAACTTTGCATTTTAATGCTTTTAACAAGAACCAAAGGTTATATCAATACAATAGTACAAGAGGAACTTCAGTATGACATTTAAAAGTGTAGGGGGAAAAGTTTTCTTGTCCTCTTTTTTCCTCTCCCTCCTTCATCCTCGTCTTCCTCACCAGCAAATCCGACTTTGTTCCCTGCCAGCACACGCCACGATTAATAGCCTTGTCAGGAAGGATGAAGCTAATTGAAAGTGAGGTTGGCTAGCGCCCTTCGGTGCATGGCCAGAGGCTGGTGGTGTAGACATCCTGTTAGAGGGAGAGGCTGAGGGTAAATCCTGGCACCAGTTCTGTTTTGTCTCACACCTTCAAGTGAGATCGAAAGGGATTTTTGGCAACACTTTCCCTCAGCATGACCTGAGACCACCTACACTAATAATGAAGCTTTTACAGGCCAGTTGGCAGCCAGGTTTAAGACTCACATTATGACATCATAATAATGAAACTATAACCAAAGTGAGACAGCAAAACCACTTAAATAGTTGGGAATCTGGAAGGATAAAAAACATCATTAAGATGTTTATTGCTTTGTAAGTTTATGTTAATGAATTTAACATTATTGTCTTTTTAAACAACACAAACTCTTGATATGAACCAGAGTTTTGTTTTCATTTTAAGAGACCTCTACCACTTGTCTTAGTAAGTGCCTGTATCATTTTTCTTGGTGTTGTTCTAATATGTGTTTAATGTTGTAGAGGGTCTCATTATAAATTAGTTTTTGGTGTTTGAACCCAGTGAGGGGGTTGATATGTTAATAAAGTAGTACTGGTCTGTATGAAATTTTCCCCATTCACGACAGCTATATGGGGAGTGAATTTTAATATGCTTTACATGCTGTAATGTTAACAAATCTGATAGTTGGTTCCTTTTAGTCTTGTTCAGCTTTTGATTGTACTTAGGGTATTTTGTTCTATGCCTGTTTTCTACCAGCCAAAGTTTTCATAGTAAATTATAGACACCATGGTGATTGTAGTAGGTTTGGGTAGATCAACACCCAGTCTCCCAGTCGAAAGTTATACATGTTTGGACATTCCTGTTCTATTATACTGGAAACCCATGTAAAATTTGTTGGAGGACTTATTAAATAGGAATTACATCCATCCATCCATCCATCTCTGCTGCTTATCCTTATCAAAGTCATTGGACGGCTGGATGAGAGGTGGGGTACACCCTAGCACCCTAGACTGTCTTGCTGTGAGGCAACGGTGTGCTTTGGAAAGTCTTTGAAATATCTGACTTTCTATGTCAATAACTAACTGATGCTGTTTGAGGGGAGCTGGAGCCGAAGGATTCAGTTTCTTTTATTTTATAGTGACAGAAGAAATAAAGATGGCTTGGAGAACAGTGAAGGAAATTGCAGGACTTCATGGAAAGTTTTGAGAATATGATCCTGTAACCTTATTGCAGTTTTCATTTGCACTCTTCCTCATCCTGCTGGCTGTTAGGGTTAAACAGTCGTGGGTTTCCAGCATGACTGTACTTTTGTGAGAACCACAAGACAAAACTTTGATTTGCATTTGGTATGAATTCATTATAACAATGATTAGTAATTAGCTGTGTAGGGTAAACATTCATTTTAAATATATAGTTATATTATAAATATATATTATTTTAGAGAGTGTTTTTAGAGAGAAAGTGATATGTTTGTGTGTTCGTGTGTGTAGTGATTTACTTTGAGGCAAGAGATTACACACAAGTTCAAACACAAAAAAGCTAAACCAGTATACAAGAATTACTGGGGAAAAAGATTTTTCTTTAATCTAAACTCTTTGTCATTCTGCCGGTGTTTAAATACTATAGACTGCTTGTTTTCCACCAGGGGAGCTTAACTTATCCTACTCCTGCTGGCACACAGAGGTTAAGATCAGGGGTGAGGGCTAATCAACTTAGAGCTTCTTCCTGTTTTGAGCTCGACCTTGGCCACTGATATCCAGGAGAAAGACAGAGAACGATGCAGAGACATTAACTCTGAGACAATAGTCAAGCAGCTTTCATATTAGCTTTGTGGGTGGTACGTGTTTCATAGTGACTGGTGGGTGGTTTGTGATGAGTGTGTGAGACAGATTGCCCACAACTTCTGAATGCTATTTTTTTTTTAATTTCCCCCAAATTATTACAAAACCATAAATTAAAAAAATAATGATTTAGTCCTGAGAATATGCATTAATTATGATGCAGTAAAATGTACAACATCCATAGAATAACCTTCAGGTTACTATGTCCTAATGAAACATATCCCTCGTTTTGGCAGCAGATAACAAAGGCAGCTGATTCGGTGACTGAGCATGTGACTCTCAGTGACGTAAGACGTGACCCCAATTAAGTCAAACCTTTAATAGACTTCTGCTTGTCTGCAGCTTTTCATTGCAGACACATTATAGACAATTTGAATTTTCTTTGTGCAAAAATTGTAGTAGGTAAGGTTTATAAAGTACACATACACACTCAGAAAGTGCCTGACACACAATTACAATTAAAAACAAATAAATGAATAAATAATTAAAAGAGAAATAGTAAAACAGATACATAAATAACATGAGAGCATTAAGAAAGTGCAACTCCACCCAAATGGCGCAGACCATAATTACCACGATTAAAGCAGCTCGAGCTCTTATTGGTATCTACCATCACACAAAATTCTGATATTTTAAAACATGGCGACCCTAGACTGTTAACAAACAGATACTAAGCTCACCAATGACAGCACTCAAACTCCACTGATACAAAAAGGCCTTCAATGAACAACAACAATGAACAATGCTGTGGATTATTCATTGCTGTGCATTGTTTCTGCCCTCAGAAAGCTTGGAATAGTGAAGAGGTCCAGGCACACACGGAAAAGTCACCGTTTGGTAAGCTAAGATTTTAACAGCCATTTCCCTCATAATTTATTGCAGTGCAATCTCAGTTTAATTACTCGGTTCACACTTTTTAGTATTTCTCCTGCATGACTGAGGAAGATATTCAGTGGATGTTCCCATGCAGCTCAGACTTTGGCAAGTAGCTCTCATGCATCTTTGAAATTTAAAAAAAGGTCATTGTGCAGCAATTTTTAAAGCATGAAACTTTTAAAAATTGCAAAACAAATCAAACTGAAGATACTGCATGGTCCCAGTCACCTGTCCTAGTGCGCAGTGAGTTCATTTATCCAGTTGTGATTTTTTTTTATTAAGTGCTATTAAGTGAGTACGCTACAAAAAATGATCAAACTATAATCTTTCATGCTTACCTGCAAGTTCTCCAGCCTCTCCTTTAGTGTCTGCAGGGTTTTTCCAGTCTGTTCTGGAGAGAAGGAACTGTGTTTGCTATATGACGAGCCCTTCCTGTTGTGGTCCAGTCTGTGGCTGCCGTGGGAATAATGGTGGTCATTGCTGTGATATCCTGAAGGCCCATGGTGCAGTGACAATGATGCATGATGGCTGCCGTGATGTCCATGATGGTCGTCATGGTGGGTACCGTGATGGTTGTTATGGTTGTTATCATGATGGTTTTCATGATGGTTTTCATGATGGTTGTCATGATGGGTATCGTGATGGCTATCGTGATGATTGTCGTGGTGGTTGTCATGGTGACTGTCATGGTGACCAGTGCTGTGGTGACCCCCAAAGCCCTCACATAAGGTGAGCTTAGCATTCAGCTCCCTGATTGTCTCTCGCTGGTCCAGGATGGTTTCCTTCTGCCTCACAAGGCTCTCACGCAAGTGCAGAATAGTGGCTTTGGCCTCGTCGGACATCATGCCTCGCCTGCTCCCGCCATTGTGGTCACTGCTATGGCTGTTACTGCTTGGTCCATGGGGCACATTGGGTGGCGAGTAGCAGCTGGGATCTGCTTCTGGAGGAATGGGAGTACAAACAAATTTGGGGCTAATGCCATAATCATATTCTATGCCAGGTAAACTACCTGCTGCTGCTGCACATGAAAGGAAGTAATAGAAAATAAGAGATCGTAGGGGGATGAAAGGGAGGACAAGCCCCAGAGTAGCTCCCACCCGTTGCATGTGCTTTGTAGACAAAGGCATTTGGCTCAGAGGACGGACGTCTCTGGCCATATCTGGTCAGAGTCCAAATTATTCCTCGGAAATTGACAGTCTTCAAAGGCTTTAGTTTTGTGGGGACAAACACCATCAATGGAAATCATTTGCTTCTGATTGAGAGGTGTTGGTGCTAATCATGTCAACAAAATAAATTCCCTTTAGAGGATAAGTGACAGAAACTCCAAGGAAGGGTTCTAAAAACACTGGGAACATTGGGAACAAAGGGGACTGTTAAACTCCAGCTGCTTGTCTTCAAGAACACCTTTTAGAATCACGCAAGCTTTCTTGGCACCATGGTAAGTTAACAGGTTGAGAAAGTTCAGCTGATAGATTCATCCACTTTGTCTGAGATGAGGTACTGGGGCATCGCCAGACAGGTGATTTCTTCTGGCTTCAAAGACCTTCTGTGTTCGACGGCCAGGAATAATCCTTTTAACTTTGGCTTCTAACCATCCATCAGATTGCCATTGCCTACTGGGAGACAGAGAAAACAAGACATCAACAAAACCAGTCAAGAAGAAGAGAGACATAATGGAAACAAACAGCTAGCTCAAGCTTTGATCATCTCCACTCATGGTTTTAAGTATTATTTACAGTGCAATCAATATATGATTCAGCCAACTGGAAAACAACAACAACAACAAACCCAAAAAGCTACAGGTTGTGGAAAAAGTAAGACTGTCAAGAGGCAAAGTGAGACAAAGCAGAGAGGAGAGAACAGGTTTAAAGGACAGGAATTGGGTTATGGCTGAATTAAGAGATAACTGGAGACCATCTTAATTACTAAGTGAGTTTCCGGTTCACACTCATCTATTAAACTTGACTGCAATATCGATGTAAACAAAACCACAAAGAGCTTCATGACTCAATCATGGTTTTGATGCACTCATATTGAGAAGGAAAACTAGATAAACACCTTTTTCAACATTACCTTAAAAATCTGCTTTTGTTATAGTTCTTGCTGCAGGAAGGTACCAGAGCTATTCAGCATCATAAGCAGTTGATCTCCACATATTAAAATGCTCATTCATGTGGTCAGCATGTTTTATTTTAACCAGCAGACTGCAGTTTAAGTTCAATGACTCACACACAGACAGACACCACAGAGGGGAGGGCTGATTGGTGGTGGTGGTGATTGGGGGTCTTCAGGGCTGCAGCAGGCCACAGTATAATCAGATTATGGCCAATTAATCTTCCGTCAAAGCCACAGGGCAATCATTCACATAATGAAAGCTGGTTTTCTGCTGAGACAAGGGCATGCCTGTTGAGCCCAGTCACTCACACGAGTCTCATGAATCAGAGTCAGAACTTGTCCGCCTTCAGCCTGCCATGCTGACTGACTGTTTAAAAGCAGCACGGCGAGGAGAGACAGAGTCATACTCAAAGAAGAGGGATGTCCACATTATTATTGCACAGAAGAAAAGCATTCAACCACATCTACTGTACAATAGGTGTTCCTTATTGATGATGGACAACTAATAATAATGTATTAATATTTTTTTTTTTTTGTTTATACTTGTTCTGTTAGACCTGAACAGCAGAACAAGAAACATGCATCAACCGCATGCTCGTTGGTCTTGCCCGAGAGCGCGATGCAAAGCCAAGAAGAACAAGTTTCAGAACACACAGGAAAAGATAAGGAGCTTGTTCTTTCTAAGCTCCTTATCTTTAAACACCCACAACACACATTACATTAAGTACAAACATCCGATTTTCTGGCACCGCCCTTTCTGTGACACTGTCCTTCTGAGAAAAACGACAATGACAATACTTTTTTGAGATTTTCAGCATTTTTTTAATTACATATTAGCTTAGAATTTCTGGGAAATATACCAGTTGTCTTTCTTGCGAAGGGGTAAATAAGAACAGCATGTGTGTACAGTAAATATGAAACTACAGCCAACAGCCACATAGCTTTCCATGAAGACCAAAAACAGAAAGCCTGGCTTTGTCTAAAGGTGACAACATCCACCTTTCATTAAGTCTAAAGCTCACTAATTGATGAGCTCTAACTTGTTAGTCTAATTTGTACAAAACCTGATATGTTAATGTGATAAGGTATGAATTGTCAGGAGATTTTCTTTGCAGCATACAGTGACTCTCTGATTCTGACTTACTTCTGCTAAATTTGACAGAAGTTTCTCTTTTTTATCAGAAGAAATGACCAATTTAGCATTGAGGCATTAATTCTTTAAACATAACACAAGTGCTTACTATCAAAAGGATAAACAGAACCATGCAACTTACCACTTTAGTGTAATGATTTGGATGAATTTTAAATTTTAGAGAATTCTGGCTGATACTTTGATATAACATCTGAGATCATTAATAGTTTAATGGTGTCACATATTTCATCATTAGAAACACCGCAGGATTCATCAGCTATTTCTTAAAAACAAACATGTTTTGTCGAGAGGCATTTAACGATGTGCACGCAGCCACTACGTGAGAGCCATAATCCAACAGTGTGCCCTGCTGTCTGATACTTAAGGACACCATTAGTGGAGATTTACATGACATGATACCTCACTGAGACACGTGGCATCACATGCTAGTCCAAACAGCATTGCTATATGTACAACGTTATAATGATTGCTTGTGTTTATAACCTTCCTTTGTCAAAGATAGAAAGGGTCGGAGAACCTTGGACCTGCATACATTTTTTCTTTGCCTTGTGGGGAAATGATCAAGTTTCGATTGAGCCAACTTTTAATTTTGCTCTACATAACCCAGGCTGAGTGAGATCTAACTGTGCTCTTGTCATGTGAAAGAAGTACAACAACTTTAAATTTGCACATTTGCACAGACTGATAACTGGTTGCTGTCTTTCTAATTTTATGTAGGTTTCCATGCTAGCATGCATGTAAAGACACAAATCAACACACCATTTGTGTCACTTTGTTGTGCCTTCATGTTCGTGATGTGTCTTGAGGTTTGCAGAACGCTGTTAAAATTTAGCAACCAGCATAAGTGAGACTCATGTTTATGGAGGCTGCACAGACACCATAATGGTTGACAGTATTATACAGCAAAGCTTACAAAATGTAGGTTGCTGTAACTGCTCCTGATGATTATAGTGGAGACATTTAAAAGATATTGTTGTTTTTTTATGATTCATTATGGATCAAATAGGATAAACAATGAACTCAGCTATAATTTGGTGTCATATCAGTACTATACTCTGTCTTTGCCCACCGTGACCAAGATAGATGGCCGGATGGATTAATAAACAACAAAAGTTTATATTTAATTAATCCAGTTAGCAAAAGGACAATAAAATATGTTGTATGCTGTGTATAAAACTCATTTAAAAATCCATAAAGCAGGTTTTCAATGCTATAAAGCTATTCTCCAGTACAATATAGAAAGGATGTTTTATTTTCATATTTGATAAATATATTCTTAAAATTCAGAATATAATCGCAGACAAAGCAGAAACCTTTTTCTAACTTCTATCAAATTTCCCAAATGTCATCGTTATTTTTCCTTCCTTTTCAAATGGAATTGTTCACATAGGTTTCCTTAAAGAACTGATTATCTTTTGTCACTTTCACTCCTTCAGTAGTTAAAAGCACAAAGTGACAGCGCTCCTTTGCAGATTCACTATATCAAGCTGATCTCGTCATCTGATCAGCTCATGTTTCCCCCATACGGATCACATCCGTGTCCTCATAGCTCCTGCTTCTTCTTTCAAGGGTGACGGTCAAATAGGATTGGTTGGATGTAATGCTGTTTAATGAGGGATTGACTGCAGGGTCCTGGTTCTGCCAGATGATCTCCCTCCAACCCACAAGTTGCTGTTGCCACACGTGTCACTGCAGGAGAAGCGCATGTGCTTGACACGCAGCCAGTAGCTTGTGTATTAATGTAATTTGCATTAATACACATTTTGCAGCTTTTCCTAACAACTGTCTTGTTTAAATTGCTTATACAATCGACTATTTCAGTGGCTTTTCCAGCATTTATAATAGATTTGAAAAGCTTTGTGTGTTGACAGAGCTCAAGTTCATTTTGTGCTTGTGTCAGGTGACACAAAAAGCCTGTTTTTATACTACACTTGTATTTTGCTTTGATTAAGATGTGCACTTTGAAGGCCCTTGCTTGGGTCAGTTATACACGTTCAGTTTCCAACTGAGTGGCCTTTCCCTGTCTGCAGCTTAAAGGCCCCTCCCTCACCTCCCTACCCATCATCGCATGAGATCACCTCAGTGTCAGGTGCTCTGGCTGGACCGTAAGCTCTGTGCTGAGGTGAGCCATGTCCGTCTGAACGTGACTGGCCACAACACTGAACAGCCAAGTGGCACTTTGACGACTGATGATGCATAGATGTTGTGATATGTGTCAGAGCACAGACTCCTAACATTAAGCAAAAGGCTGCAGGACAATTTCACTTGAAGTAATTGAAACTTGGACCAACCATACTGTGTGTTTAGATTCACTGTAGAGTAACTGACACAATCCCTCACATGTAACTGATTGGCCTTCACTGATTTAATAACCTCCAGGGCCGTGCTTCCGAAGAGGATTCATTTGACAAACATAAATGTTCACTAGGAAAAGTCTGACGTGCTGCAGTAGTGTTTAAGCGTGAACAATCTCATTGTCAGATGTTAGATTGCTATGGTGACCACTGTAGGATGAAACCATTTTAAACAATTAATAGATTAAAAACATTTAGCCTGTACCTGTGGCTAGCCAACCCCATTTTACTACTGTGTATGCATAAAAACATTCGTGTACACCCCATATTATTAAAATACTACAGGAAAAAAAACCCTAAACATATTTTGCAGTATTTTACAATTTTATACACAGGTCACTCACAAACTCTGGCTGCCATTCAGCTGTAGTGATCGTAGCCTGTTGGTCTGGTTCATTTTTAGGAGACTGCAAAACTCTGTGAAGGGAGTCAGATATGAGTTGATGAATCGGTGAATCACTTCTGATCATGTGATTTCAAGGAAAGTTGTCGAGGATATCCTGAACTGTTGCTGTTGCTAGCTGTTAACTGTTGTTAGCTGGAACTAGTGAAACTTTCTTTGAAGTGGATGTAGCATTGTTGGACTTGAACGCTTGTGTTTCATGTGGTGTGAGAATGTAATCAAACTGTTTATTGGTGAAAAAATTTGATTTTCAGGATACTCTAACTTTAACTGACATCATGTTAGCTCGTAACCAGCTGCTGTTGTTGTTTAGCTGGCTCATCAGCTGTCCAGAGATGGGATGGACTCATGTCTAATCTTCTGACTATCAGGACTACATGAGTATATTTATGTAACTTTTCATGTGTTACAGCCCTGACTTCAATGCAGGAAGTGAGACTCGAGGTGAGGAGAAGGCGGGTGAGGTTGAACTGAGGGAGGAAGGATCAGCTGTCGAAGAGATGCATAAAGATAAGCAGATAGAGTTGGTGAAAACGTACATATATAAATGTTAAAGGGTCACAAATGTGGTTGGTCTCTATTCACATTCGTAAAAAATGATTAGGCGGAACGTCAAAGTCCATCCAAGTCACTCTATTTAAGACAGTGAGACAGTGTCTGCTCCTACTGTGTGTATTTTTAATGGATTCAATTTAAGTACATCAGAATGCATCAATTTGTTGGAAGACATAATTACACAAGTACAATGTTCTCTTTTTTGCTAAATAAACTTCATGACATCTGACATATTTAAAGCCAACAGATGATTAGTCCCCAAAGTACTGTTGTATAAAAAAATTAGTATAGAGAGTTTAAAAATGTATGCCTCGAGACAGTCATTTTTCAGAAACTGCTGCATAAATGAAAAACAAATCAGTTTAAAAGCAATGCCATGTTTGTGCCTGACAGCATCTATCAAATGCCTCCATATATAAGATTACACACAAAAGAGATTTGGCAATCACATCCTGAGCAGCTGGTGCAGTGTGTACTTTGTATTAGCATAAAACTATGAGTGAAAGTAAGTTTTTAATAATTTTATCTGTTCTTATGTGAGGATACTCTTCATTATTAAAAGTTTGGTTTGGTATGTTATGCAAAAGAAATGCCTCAGAGTGCGTTAATGAGCGAGTCTAAGTCCTAAAAGCAAATTAATTTTTTCTTTTTTAGTTGTGAGATGAAAAAACTGTTGAATGCTCAGGTGGCATTTTTAACACCGTAACTGGTTGGCTTGTTTTTAAATTAAGTTGCATATTAAAATAATTCAAAAGGTCTGAATTTCAGTCAATATTTTTTAAGCTAGTGTTTCAACATTTAATGAAATAATAAACGAGTTAGTTTGTCATTTTAGATTTCATTATGAAATGCAATAGAATGACAGTTATTTAAAGAAAACATTACCTTATATACCTGCTGTATCATATGTAGTTCATTATTTTAATACAAGATTCAAACTAAACATTAGCTCTTCATGCTGTAGCTTTAATAAATAATAAATAAAAAAGTATTTTAGTAGCAATATCATTACTCCCTATTAATATAATCACCAGTGGAAGAGCCTATGAGCAGCTGTTGTTCTTTATATTGGGGATATATAGGATATAACATCATCTTGCAGGCAAATATGGTGTCATCTTATTCACAATGACACCATATTTAAAAGTCCTTATGTGTCTTTTTTGTTGTTCAGATTTGTATTTTGTTGTTAAAGCTCCCGTTTTACGTTTGTCAACATGAAAAAATGCCGAAAAATTCCTGACATCGCTCAGTAAAAACAAAGCTGCATTCTTGAAGTCACTAGTAAAATAGGGTAACGTTTAACATGACCGCTGCACCAAATTACAGAGACATATTACTAAGCATTATAAAATATACCTGCTTAGCTGACTGTGTTTTGTTTCCACAGACATGCAAATCGTTCCAAATTACAATTGAAATGACTCCTCAGCCCTGGAAATATACAGCAGCCATATTGTTACAGTGAACCAGCTGACAGACAACAGAATGTGATCAAGCATGACAACAAGCACTGTGCCGATATGTCGACTCATACACTAAAGCTCTCTGCCTTCCTGTCAGTACAAAGCAGGCAACATTTCAACAACTGGAAAAAGGATAAAGAAGAGTTACAGGTGTCCCTTTTGAACCTAATCATGCCTCACATTCACACAGCAACATGGAATTACAGTTTAGAGCTGGTTGGGTCAACAGCCCTCTACTGTGAAGCCGCTAAGTGCGCTGGTTGCTGAGAGGCTTTGTCGCACCCTTGTACTTTTTAATTTAGTGCATTTTGATGTCAGTAAATTAGCCAACTGTCATTTTCACAAAAGTGAAGCCTTTTACTAAAACCTGAGCATCATTTCCGACACTCGTTTCTGTGAACTTTGTCCTCAGTCACTACCCACAGCACATGCTCATAGGCGACAAAAGCCTTGTAAATCTTGTATACCAACAGTTTTGCCTTCAGTGTGAAAGACCAGTACGCCATCAAAATCACTCCACATCTCACTCTTATCGGCCTGTCAAGATCAACTTGTCTCAAAACTTTACATAAAGTCCACATTTTATAAGGAAACATGGTTTAAAATTGTGGGGAAAAAAAAACATGTTGTAATAATAACTCTACTTTCCACCAGCGCATAATGTAAATGTTCATTATATGAACTCAGCCATTCCCTTTGTGTCAAGAATTAACAAGTTAACACATTACCTGACTTTACTATGGTCCAACTTCAGAGACCACCCTCAGTGGGGTCACCATAATCAGGATGACTGGGAATAGTTGTGGCAGTGTGGAAAGCTCTTAGGCTCAAGTGTTGAGAGTAGCAACATTAATCAACCAATGTGACAATACACTGGCTTAGCACAACAGTTCATATGGATGGCGCCATGCAGGAAGCTCAGGTTTCTTAACAAAGGTCCAGACAGTGCAGTGTAACAGGCGGGTCTTTGACTAGAAGGCATTTTAATTCTCACGGGTAGTAAATTATCTTTTTTCTTTATTTTTCAGCACTAAAAGCATTCCCTGTGTCTCTGAGAACAAATCTTTGCTGCCTTTATGATTTTTTTTCTTTTTTTTATCTGTGTCATTTTTCTTTGGTGCCTTGATTTCCTAAAGAGGAACTTCAGGTAGGCCTATTAGTATTTCCCATAATTGTAATGTCCAGTATCGATTCTGCAAAGTTTGATTTTCTTCTCATCATTTTAAGGGTTAAAGTTGCAGTTTTCACAATAGCTTGGTTGCTTATCAGTGCTCTTTGGTGATAACAGGTGTCACATTTCTAAAGATGTGGACTTCTGATCTGAACTGTGATGGATCACCTTCACATTTTGTTTGACCTCTTTAAGCTGCCTCTGCCCTCGCTGTAGCTAACGAAGAGGCGTGAAGCCAAAGGCTCAGTGCCGCACGTGGCCTCAATTGATCTCCACTGAACAGGTTTGAACAAAGACTTGTTGGATACACAGGAAGGGAACGTTATCACAGGTATGCTATGGCTATACTGCACAAATGTTCACTGAAACAAGAATCAATGAACGAAACAAGTGTAAAAAATCCCTGAGATACAACCGTGGATATAAGAAGGTACCAGCAACAGAGCTACTACAGAAAATCTGAGAAGAATCTTCACTTTTAAAATGTTGCACCCATGAAAGAAGTTGAGTTCAATAAAATGCCAAATACGTTGAAATCTTAGCTTCATGTGAGCCAAAGCTCATCAAAAATACACTGAATATAACACAGACGGCTGAAGGCATATACAGAGATGAGGACAAATCAAATATTATAAAACCTCTTATGTGTTATACTAGTAACAGAATATTAGCATGCAGAAAAAAATACTATAAGTAGTAAACAAAAGACTGAAAACTCTTAAAAGTAACCATAATTATGCTGAATATTACTTCACTGGTGATTCGTCCACGGTGGTACGGCTTCCTCTCACCCTGTGAGTGGAACAGCATTCAGCCTCATTCCTCCAGTTGACTTTATTTGAATTTCAAGCAGTTTTAAAGCAATTACTTCTAACGTGTTAATAAGCTCTTGAGAAAGACATCTGTTGAAGACGGTCTAGAACAAAGGGACTTGAATCACCTACAGTACCAGGCATTCATTTGAACACATTTTCACAAAATATCTTAACTCATCTGACCTCAGATGATTCAGCTCAGTTTACTTTGTGTCTTATGGTTAAATAAGATGCAGATAATAAAGTATCACACCTACAGTTTATTAGAGATTCAAAGAAGTAAAAATGTAAAAAGTAGAATTTTTTGATGAGGATTTGGCTGGATAGTTACATTTGTAGCACAAAAAGTCAGAACTGTGGCCAGTAAATCTACTGATTTACTAATATGTAAAATCCCATTTATTTATATTTATTTGAGGTAGGTACATATAGCAGCTAAGCTACAGCTTATGGTAACTGGTTGACAGAGGCCTCATGAGAAAATCCTTAAATATGCATTGCATAACTAAATGAATCACACTTTATAGAAGCTACTTCCAGTTGCTCTGTTATTCATCAGTGGTGGCCACAGCGGGGAGTTTTTTTAAAACGCCGGATGCCCTTCCTGTCACTACCCAAAGGGATTTGTGTCTCGTCACAGGATCAAACCGGGGCTCTTTCGCATGTTAGGCGAATGTGTAAACCAGTACACACTAAATAAATCACATATTACATTAACAAATCAGAAACTCTCTCTAAAGAACCACAAACTATTTAAACTTAATGTACTAATTTCATTCAGTCTGTGGAAGCATTACATCATCCATGGGGCCGTGAATTTCACTTTACTTTTGTTTATCAACAATTTACTTGCTCACAAGAGAGATCGTTTAGGAATCTTCCCAAAGGTCGATATTTTAGAAAACAGTGCATCATTTGGTTAAAAAGAAGCAAAGCTTTTCTTACCTGTTGCAAGTCTGGAGTCGCCAAGGTGGTTAGTCCATTCAACACACTGATCAGCTTGAGGAGGATTGGCTTTAGGTGGATAATTTTAACTCTCTCTCTCTCTCTCTCGCTCTCTCTCTCTCTCTCATCACTCACTCTTCTGCGCACACACCTGACTACTTTTTTTTTATTATGTACTTCAGTAACAAAATGTTTAACTCTAAATGTTCAGGTAAAAACTTTTAAAACCTCAGCGATGCAAGAAAAACCAACAAAAGCAATTATGAGACCTTTGGACTAATTTTTGGACTAATAAGCAATCGTGCACACTAAAGTGATCACCTGATTTAGGGAAAGCCTTCCTTTGCTTGTACTTTGAATAAACTGCAGACTCTTTCAGGTGTCTTAGATAAGATGGAGGCAAGTTGGATCACTCCTGTCGCTTTGGCATCATGAAGTCGATTTAATTGAAGATTTGGTTGTTGAGCCAATAGCTTTTACTCAGCTCACACAAATCGCAACCATGCCCAACAAGATCAGTGATGATTCAGAAGAAGTCCTACACACCTTGATTGGCTGGTTCTCAGGGCTCCTAAGGGTGTCATTAGTGTACTCAACAACAACAAACTAAGTCACGTTATTTAGCAGTTTTGTAGATGTTTTCAAAAAAAATCCATGTGTCTAGGACACAGTTACCTCACCTCTAATACAGGCGGCCTGTCATTGCCCATTTACCCTCTTAAAGGTAACACAAGAGCTCCAAGCTATCCTTAGAAAACTGTAGCTGCACTGCATACAAAACAATGGAGGATCAAAGCAGAAGGATACAGTAGGAGCTGTTGTTGTCATCATGGCCGCAGGCAGTCTGAGGGCTGTACGATGAAGAAATATTAATAAGCCAGGAATGTTGAGTCCAAAGGCAATGTTTTGAAGGTGGCTCTGTTTTTACCCTTGTGCCTGGCTGGATCACCATGATGAGCTAAGTTGAACACATAACCTGGAGCACGTTATGTTTGGAGGACAGAGGTTAAAATTTGCTGGAACTGCCACATCTCGAGTGATTCATGTCAGGAGGACATGTTCTACGTGTGAAGGGATTTGTACTTGCACAGCTTGTTGCCTGTGTAAAATACAGCCGAGTGAAGCTGTACAGTGAAGCTACAGCAGCACAGTCTGTGTGTACTTTTATTTCATAGTCAGAGGAATTTGCAGTCTTTCAGATTCAAATGTATAAATATGATTTATGCTTTATAATGTTATGAGTATCATATAGTGAGGAAACACTGAATAACCTGTAATGATCAAATGTATAAAGTTGAAAGTTCAGTCGCTTTAAGGTCCAGCTGCCTTGTTAGAAATATACTAATATAAATTCACAAGAGCTGGAGAAATATCTTTGGGAATGAACTGGTGAACACGTGAACTGGTGAATCTGGAGACTACTCATTGTAAGCGAGTGGAGAGTTGAGGATATTCAGCAGGGGCTCAGAATAGAGCTGCTGCTCCTTCACATGCACAAACGGCTCAGGATGAGTTTCTGGGGCAGACCTGGGACATGCTACGAATGCCTTGGTGTCTACCCAGAAGAGTTGGTGGAGGTGGTGGGGATGGTGGAGGTCAGTGCTGTGGAAAAAGTGTGGATGAATGGAATTCACACGATTAATGGTTTTCTATCACCACTGCTCTCTTACCCTGTTCGCAGCACCTGTGTTGACTTTAATCATTATATATTTACAGCGTGTTCTTCATATGGCTTTTTCAGCTGTTTGTCTGACAATGGCTCTGACTAAAGTTGTCACCCTGGAGAGGTCATCTTGCACTGAGGAAGCCAAATGACATGTCAAAGCCACCATTTATGTGAGCATGCACAGAATGTGAAGCGTAGAGCCTGGACCAGACAAGGAAGGTTGGCCATTTCTACTGTGACTCTATTATCTCTCACTGGGGTTTTAGGATTTATGTTTAAGCTAATGCAAAGAAAGCCTAACTGTGCTGAACTTGCTTTCTAGCGTGATGATGACACTGGACCACAGATTAATAATAAAGAAAAACACAAAGTTCCTTTAAAAGCACAAGAAGACTGAATAAAGCCGTGCTGAAAAGCACAAAATTAAAGACAGACCAACTGTAAAAAATGCAGTGTGGCTTTCAAAACTACCTGATTTGAATTAACCATGACTTATAACACTGTTTGGGGAATAACCCATAGAAATACAGTGTAGTTACAGGCTCTGACAAAAGAATAAAGTATTAATATGTTAATGTTAGATCATATTGATGACCTGTAGTGAGAGCTCGCTGTGTACTTGCAGATGTAGGTGGAGAGTGGTAGTGGTAGTAAGAACAAAAGTGTGAAAGTTAAGTGAGTCTAGGGAAAAAAAAGTGAGGACAAACTGTAACAGTTCTTGTGTCTGCATTGTATTCTGGTCTATTTTCTGAACCTGCATGTGGGTGTAGAGAAGCTTTCTGTGCTTCTTTGGTGGATTTCTCCGGGTATGATTTTGAGCGATGCTGCTTAATGTTAGCTCAAAAGGCAGATCTTTCTTTCTGTTGCATTCTCAGAGGCTCCTTTAACCCAGTGATGAACACTCTTTAATAAGCATCATCACTAATATTGTAACCAGCTCGGTTTTGCATCAGGCGATCTCTGTGCACTGATATCGGCATATGAACATACATAATAATGTAGGCAAGGGACAAGACTGTTGATGCCAGAGGCCAGGTGCTTTTTAGAAGAAATCCCATGGCCAAAATATAATTCCAAAAACAGGTCACAGTCTGAACACCATTAAAATTCCAGTTGTTTCTTTAAATCAATTTATCTGCATTGTTAAACTGCTGCACAGAAGAAAAATCTTGGCCTGTATAGCGAGCGGCTGCACCAGAATTATGAAAACACTGACCTTTGTCTCCATCAGAAGATAGATGATGGGTTCCAAGGCTGTAAAACAGCTGAGGCTATAATAAAGATGTTTTTTCTCTTCCTAAGCTCAATATAAAAGCTACAGCAAAGTATTTGATCCCACTGTTTCTGATCCCTAATACCTGACACGCTGTATTAAGGGGCTAAATCTTTTTATATAAATGTTTTAAATGTTAGAATTGTATCTGTTTATCAAATGTTCAACAATTACATTATAGATGTTTACATAAATAAGTGTATAATGTAATCCAACGTGAAAAGACCACCCAAAATCAGTGAGAATAAGCTCTGTGGGGGAAAAAACATTTATTTATTTATTTTCAGCAAGCTTACACATTATCAATAATCACTCATTTTTATGGTAGTTTCATTTGAATGCGGGGAGACAGAATATCAAGCAAAAATTGAGAAACAAATAGAAACACAGTACATAAACGTTGGAAATCGATTTGCATGTAATTGAGCGAAACAAGTATTTTATCCAAAAGTAAAGCATCCCTCTGGCCATCACCAGTAGGGGGTAGGTGAAGTGTCTTGCCCAAGGACACAACGACCAAGACAGACAGAGCTGGGGATCAAACCAGCAACCTTCTGGTTACAAGATGAGCTTCCCAACCCCCTGAACTACAACATTGGCAAAATGTTGGTCAGTACAGCAGTAAGGTGTTTCTTGTAGCTGGTCATCAGGTTTGGGCACGTCTCAGACTTTGACCCTCTCCTTTTGATAGAAACTCTCTAAATGCTTTACGTTTCTTGGCTGTCACTTAAAAAACTTGAAGCTTCAGCTCCCACCACAGTTTTTCTGTTGGACTGAGTTCTGGAGACTGAATATACCAGTCTATGATGTCATGTAGTCACTTGTCTGTAAATGTACTCTGTAGGACAAAATCAATCATTAAACATGAAAAAAGCTTGTCTTAATGCATCATTCCATTAAACAAAACAAAATCATTTATGTGAAATCCAATAATTGATTTTTATTTTTAGACAAAATATTTCTTTCTAGTTTCTCATGTTTTCTGCTTTTCCTAGTTTCAGATTTGTGGACGAGCGTTGAGTCCATTTTTAGAAATAATATAACCTAAAGTTTTAGAAATCAGCTCATAACATAGAACTCATTACCTAACTTTGTCACCCTCAGTGTACTTTGGTGAGCAGCTTCTTTATCCCAGAATTCCTGTGAAAATGTTGGAGAAATTAACATATCATTCTTTTTTATGTTGATTCATGTTTACAGCTCTGTTTAAAACTGTGATGTCGTCCACGAGTCATGTTGAGATCACACCAGTAAGTTTGACAGCTTACCTGCAGGTCTGGACTGTTCCTCAGCCTATAAGCATGTTTCATAAGCCTGTTTCAAGCTGACCCGCTCACAGTCAGGCAATCTAAATCCAGGTCTTTTTCCCTGCCCTGACCCCTGTTATTCTGGTTATGGCATCACAGACACAGAGACAGCCAACAACTGCTTAAATGTTATTATTGTAACCTTCAGATTAGGTCATATATGATTTGTTCCAACTATAGAAACAAGCAAACAAATAAACAACAATAAATAAATAAATAAATAAATAATAACCCAAACATATAGTTAAAATTGTCATTGTTATAAAACATTAAACAATTTTGCTCTAATAACAAATGACACTGACTTGAATCAGTCAAGCACTAGGCTTTTCATGAAGATGGACACTTATATATAATATATTTAAGTATCTGTTAAATCTGATTTATTTATTTGTTTTCTTTATTTGTGTAAGTTGATATATTTTTCAGATGCAACATAATAATCACAACAATGACAAAAACAGAAACAAACCTGTTAAAAGATGCCTAAACATGTCATGTTTGAAAGTGTAAGTAATCGTCTAAGTTTATAATACCCAAATGTTATTAACTTCAACCACAACAAACTGACTCTTAATTACCATCTTAACAGGCTTTAAATGGTGCAAATCTTTTAAGTCAGGGTCTAGAAAGCCTCTTTCAATGCAAAACTGCACCTTGGCTCATTTCCTCACCGCTGCAGGTTTAAATCCTGTGATTCAACCTAAAGATTTTCAATTACATTTCAATTTTTAATCTTAATGGTTCCATCTTTTACCATTTTTCAGTAAATTGCAATATTGTAGAATCACTTGTTTTTATCTTCATATCTGACAT